ACGAATATTTCCTTTAAATAAAGGAATCGATCGCTATGCAGGTTGGCGTGTTCAGACTAACACAATGTTGGTAAAACAGTGAAAACTGTCTGAGTGTTTTCGTCCCGCAGTGGACTGATCTTAAAGACACGGTTCCCAGCAGAACATCGAAGTTAAGCATCTCTGACTGCGGTCAGTAAGTGGGTGGGTGAAAACATTGATAGGGACCGAGGATGCGTGTTATCGGTCCTCGTTAAATTGTTCTACTGTAAAGTGCTCTACTTCGAGGACAGGTCGCCGGGCTACTAAAGCAGGGGAGCTATCCCCTCTGCAAAGGATCAAAATTACAATGTCATGCCTTCGGATCATCCTCAGGGATGTTTCCCAGATCATCACCAATCCAATATATATATATCATTGTATCTATAGATCATTGTGCAGCTCTAGTGCGACGTAAATAAAGTACCTTCCTGACTGTTTTCTTTTTCTTGTTGTTGTGAATATTAAATTAATTAATTTTCTATTTAATTCAAATCTTATTTACATTTTGGGACATCCTTTATAATTTGCTATTTATCTATTTTCAGTTTCAAGTTATGCATTAATTAACATTTTTGATATTTCTTTTTTTGAAACCGTGATATAGACTTTTTCCCTCGACCTATTGAATACCAATTATTACCTCCCTTTCTTTACATGCTTATTAAGGTTTCCCTTATTCCTTAAAACGAAACATTTCGCGGATTTATTTTGCGAGATTTTCTCGTAACTTTTATTGAGGAGCACTTCGATTTTGTGACTTCATTCTTTCATAATGATTAAATAAAATTAATTTGCTCTTTTTAAAATTCTGTGCCTGTTTGTACTGCTAGCACCCTTAGAAGTCGACAGGCTTATAGTACTTGGAAAAAATGGGAGCATGATTAGTAAAATGCTCGTAACTTAACATACATAACAGGATGCGTAGCCATATTTTTCATCAAAAANCAGTGAAAACTGTCTGAGTGTTTTCGTCCCGCAGTGGACTGATCTTAAAGACACGGTTCCCAGCAGAACATCGAAGTCAAGCATCACTGACTGAGGTCAGGTGGGTGAAAACATTGATAGGGACCGAGGGTACGTGTTATCGGTCCTCGTTAAATTGTTCTACTGTAAAGTGCTCCACTTCGAGGACAGGTCATCGGGCTACTAAAGCAGGGGAGCTATCCCCTCTGCAAAGGATCAAAATTACAATGTCATGCCTACGGATCATCCTCAGGGATGTTTCCCAGATCATCACCAATCCTATATATCATTGTATCTATAGATTATTGTACAGCTCTAGTGCGACGTAAATAATGTACCTTCCTGACTGTTTTCTTTTTCTTGTTGTTGTGAATATTAAATTATTTAATTTTCTATTTAATTCAAATCTTATTTACATTTTGGAACATCCTTTATAATTTGCTATTTATCCAGTTATGCATTAATTAACATTTTTGATATTTCTTTTTTTTGAACCATGATATAGACTTTTTCCCTCGACCTATTGAATACCATTTATTGCCACCCTTTCTTTACATGCTTATTAAGGTTTCCCTTATTCCTTAAAACGAAAACATTTCGCGGATTTATTTTGCAAGATTTTCTCTAACTTTTATTGAGGAGAACTTCGATTTTGTGCCTTCATTCTCTCAAAATGATTAAATAAAATTAATTTGCTCTTTTTAAAATCCTGTGCCTGTTTGTACTGCTAGCACGAAGTACTAGCAGTACAAGTTTGCACTGCTAGCACCCTTAGAAGTCGACAGGCTTATAGTACTTGGAAAAAATGGGAGCATGATTAGTAAAATGCTCGTAACTTAACATACATAACAGGATGCGTAGCCAGATTTTTCATCAAAAAATAAGCACCTTTTAAGCATTTAAAAAAACATTTTGAATCACTTTCCAAAAAAAATTTCATAATTAGGATCTGTGCAGTAATAAAAATTATTTTTTTCAATCGTATATATTTTTCAATATATTTTTCTATCGTTTCAAGTTCTTAATTTATAAACAAAAAATCAATAAAATTCAAAAACTTTACATAATCCTTTTAAAATAACTAGTTTCTGGTAAATATTGCAGTGAGAATTGTGAAAATCATGCATTTTTTTTGTAAATGAGAACGACAATCGATACGGCAAAAAAAAAAAATATCTTTTTAAAAGATAGAAAATTAAGCAGTCTTTACAAATACCGAATATAAAATGCGCCTTAAAGAGCTATTAAAAAATGTAAATCAAAAACAAGCACCTTTAAGCACTTATTAAAAACGCTATGCACCCTGTATGAATGAAAAAAAAATAACAAAAGAGTGCTGAGACCAACATTTTGCTGAATATGGAGCGGTTGAGGGGGGGAGGGAGAGAAAAGGAAATTTTCCAATTCTCCGCAGCTGGGAGAGAAAATAAACGAAAAAATCGAAAATGTTAATTAATGTATAACTTGAAACCAAAAATAGATTAGGAGATAGGAAGTGATTATTAAAGCGTGCGAGAGAGCATTTAGTTTAGAATAATAAATAAGAAAGATTTGTTAAAGAAATAACAAAAATAAAAAGATTACTTTAAACTTTTTATGTTATATATATATTTATGTAAAGAGTACTATAAAGAACCAGTGTTGCCACATTGGGCAACAAGTAGCTTATTGGGCTACTTTAACAAGTCTACTACTGAAAATCAAATTGGGCTACCCGCTACTTCTTGGGCTACTCATTATTTAACGAACGCTACAAGATTTAAAAATGCACTACAGCGATATGTATGTTTTAAATCGTAGATTCGTGAAATTGCAAAGATATGTATGGTAAAATGCAAGGCGAGTATGATGGAGGAAAAAAAATCTTTAGCTCCAACCATTAGTAACCGTTTATCTTCTGGAAAAATAAATTACGTGACCTTTAATCTGATTTCTAACGAAATATTTAATTTGTCGAAATTTTTAACTCCATGTAATTAACTCAATGTATTTGACTCAATGTATTGTTAAATTTTTTTTTTAAAATTTAGTATATATATATATATATATAACGTTTTTTTTTTTCGGGGAGGGGCTACAAAATGTTCGAATCCGTTGCTTTTCAATCTTGAGTTCTGGCTACACTGTAAAGAACCATTTTTGGTGGAAAATTGTTCTTGAACAAATAACATGTAAAATCACAATAGAATAGTTTAAAATTTTCAATTGTAATTATAAAACTTAATACTAAGCATTCAATTAAAAGAATGGTAAAATTATGTTGTTTTTTTTAATGTTGAATTAAAGTGAATGGTATTAATGGTTTACTAAGTTAATAGATTCAATTTACTCCCCAGGTAAAAAAAAACGATAATTCGTTTTCATTAACTTTGTTTTTCTAAGTTGAAAATGAACATGTGTTGCCATTAGAGTTTGATTGGGTGATAAATTAGTTTTCTTTAGTCAAAAATAACATCTGTGGTAATTAGTTTTAATTTGATTTCATTCCAATGACGAAGTTTATATTGATATATTATAAGGTTATATATCACATTATAAAAGTGCACAAAAAAAGCAGACCAGTCTGAATAACTTTTGATCTAATGAATAGATCTTCATGTTCTAGGGCCCATCATAATGGCTCAAGGGAGTGACTCAAATATGCTAATTAATAAGTGCAAACGATATTTTAATTTGCGAAATCAGACTCAAAAACGTAATATTTCTGAATAAATATATACCTTTTTTTCGACGGATTCAGATTTTTGGCCCCCGAAATATAGGGTAGCCGCAATCCGGAATCCTAATTCCGGATTGCGCAATTAGGAGCAATCTGCAAAATATGGTCTTAATATTTTAGTCGGGAGAACGCTCCAAAGTTTGGACCCCTTCATGTTAATTTTCTTTTACAGCGTATTCCGTTATATCTCGAGAAATAGTTAAACAAAGTGAAAATTTTTGCACGCAATTGTAAAATTCGTTTATCCAAATATAATTCCAAGCAAAAAATATTCTTTATTAAATATTTATTATTGAAGTGAAACTTCTAATGCGCCTTCCAACAAGGTTGCGTTAAACGTTTAACCCTAGCATGGCAACGAGCTGCCTGTGATCCTTGCAGGAGATTTTAATGTGAATACGTTATAGTNTTTGTCTTAAAGAAACAATCTGATTTCACTAAAAATCAATTTCTACCCCTTCCTATTTTCATTTCCACATTACGAAGTTTCACTTCTTCCGCGCGGAGGGATTCCACGCACTCTGTTTTTTATTTTATAATCGTCGAAAAAATTTTGTATTGTGAGGTATACAATTTATTTTTGCTTCATTTTAAAGAATATAATTTTCCATGGTAAAATGCAAAAGTTTAGCAAAATCGGTCGGGAAATAGAATTTTAAATATCTCACTTTTTTTAAATTCAATTTCTCAAGAACTTTTCGACAAATTTTGTATTTAGCCATGTAAGATTATATTCTTTAAAATTATGCAAAACAATTGTATACCTAACAATTCAAAAATTTTTCTACCATTATTAAATACAATAATAAAAAATAATTAATAATTAATAAAGGTAATTTTAGGCATGAAATTATCTTTTAATAAACGGATTCTGTTATGGTGTACAAAAACTTTTCAATTCACCTAAAACGTTCTCGAGATGTAACGATATACTTAAAAAGTAAAATTAACATTAAGGGGTCCAAACTTAGGAGCGCTCTCCTGATCAAACTATTTTCCAGATTGCGGCTACCCCCTAAGTTAAGGGGTTGAGAAATCTGCATTTGTCGGAGAAAAAAAAGGTATGTCGAGAAAGTACGTTTTTGTATCCAATTTCGAAAATTAAATATATTTTAAGATTGCATATTTTTTAATATATTTTTACCATTAAGATTGAGTCTTAGAACGTGAAGATCCGAAGCGTGAAGAACGATAAGTTATCCAGGATGGTCTTTTTAGTTTTTTTTTCTTCTTTTGCGCACTGTACATAAATTGGTGGCTGGTACAATTTCATGAATGACATGGAGAAGTTGATTTATTACCTGAACTGATCCAAAGTTTGTATCTAAATTTTGAATGTATGGAATCGTGGATGAGCAGATGTCAGTCTTTTTCTCTAAGCATCCTGTAAGGATTTAATATATAGCAAAGATAGCAATTAATATAGCAATAGCAATTAATATATAGCAATATATAGCATTAACATAGCCAGTATCGGTAATTTTTTACAGGATGTTCCTTAAAACATCCTGTAAAGTAGAATTATATTAATTGCAAACATTTTTAATATTTTCTGCAGAGATTTTTGTCACATTAAATAAAGGCAATGCATCTCTTTTCGCAATGATATATAAGTTACGGTTTACTGCAATTAATCAGTTAGCATCAATAATCGCTGGCTATTATTACTTAAATAATTAAGTAATCATCTTTTCACCATTTTCAGGTTAATATTAATAATTACTAATGAAGTTTGCATCAGTGCAATTAATTCTCTTCAACGCATTTGAAATGGAGACTTAATACGCATGAGTATCGAAAATTTTCCTCCTTAAAGATAATGGCGAAATATACAAAAATTAAAGTTAACAATAAGGGGGATCTCCACGAAGAGAAATTTCTCTTAATTCTTGATCCAGGAGTTCCCTTGTCTTCTGGATTGGATTAAAATTTACAAGGCTACGGAGTTGAACACTTGTAGTTGTAAACCCGCAAAATTCTTCATCGAAGGTTATAAAATAGAATAAGTATGTATTTATTCAAAGAAAGTGCGTTTTTTGTCTTATTTCGTAACTTAGTTAATAATTAGTACTAATTAATTAGCATGTTCGAAGTCACCCCCTGGAACCATTAGGATTGACACTTAGGACGTGAAAATCCGATCATTAGAATGAAAGTTATTCAGGGTGATATATTTTTTGCACACTGTACAAAGCGCAAAAAAGAGGAAACAAAAGAGGAAAAAAAAAACTACTCTGAATAACTTTTGATCTAATGATTAGATCATCACGTACAAGGACTCAGTCTTAATAGTTAGAGGGGGTGACCTCAAATAGGCTATTTAATTAATGCTGATTTTTTATTTTTCAGCATTTACCCAAAAAAGAAGAAAAAAAATCATCCCGAGTTTCTTATGCATGCAAACATGATATATTCATTTAAGCTCTCTGGTTAAAAGAAAGTTCGCAATACTAGATATCAGTCAGTTTAAAACTCAATTGAATTTAATGACAAATGCTTCTTATTTAATTCCATTTATACGCTAAAATGTACTTGCGCACAAAAAAATATTAAACACACATTATGTAAGTGCGAAAAAGAACTTACTTTCAACAAACAATTCCTTGTAAAGTTCTCTGGATAGTACTGTTCCTAGGGAACCGTAGCTGAACCATCTAGTCATAAATTAATAAAGCAATAAATTAATTAATAAAGTAATAAATTAATAAAGTAAATTTATTATATATGTACACTGGTGAAAGAAATTAAGAGAATTTGCAGATTATCTCTAGAACAACTGAACCGATTCTAATGAAATTTGTTACTTGCATACATTGACACAATAATCAATAATACAATAAATCAATCAACCATTGTAATACACACGCATGATCGTGCGTAACACTTCTTGGAGTCGAAAGGTATGAAACAACGGTTGCAGAGAAAACAAAAGAAATTGATAAATAGGAGATATACAGATATCTCTTACAGATATAGAGGCCTTGTACCGTGATTTCATACTTGAAATAAGGCAGCTTATCATTTCCTGTGGCAATTGGCCTGAATTGTCCTTTCGACAATTTCATACCTTCCGACTCCAACGAGTGTGATCATGCGTGTCTATTCCAATGGTTGAATGATTATTTGTTNACATTATTAATAGGTGTCTCAGGACGCTCTAAGTTCTTCATACCAGTGGGTGTCCGCATGCTCTTGGCACAGACAGTGTACATCAAAATGGTTTTGAATTGCTCACCTGGTCAGTGGTTTGAGAGATAAGTATATTAGCAAAAGCAGCACGCTGATGTGCTGTTTTTGCTAACATATTTAACTTTAAAATTTCATTTTGGCTTATTTTTGGTTTCCAACTTCTAATTTAAATAGTATTTATTTTAAGTCACATCCTGCTTATTACAAATGTTTAGACTCGCCCACGGAAAATGAGACGAATAATCAGTTTTTTGATTAGAACTATTATTAGTCATTTCGAGACTTACTAAATTGTTCCAATATACACTGGAGTAAGAAATTAGAGAATCAGCAGATCTGGTCGATTATCTCTAGAACAACTTAACCGATTTTAATGAAATATGATCTGTACATAATGCAAACCATTCAACAATTGTAATGAACACGCATGATCGTGCGTAACACTCGTTGGAGTCGTAAGGTATGAAACAACGATTGCAGAAAAAACAAACAAAAAAATGGGTAAATAGGGATATTTTCCCAGGCCTTGCAGTGTAATTTCATACTTGAAATAAGGCAGTTTATCATTTCTTGTGGCAATTGTCCTGCGGCAATTTCATACCTTACGACTCCAACGAGTGTTACGCACGATCATGCGTGTTCATTACAATTGTTGAATGGTTTGCATTATGTACAGATCATATTTCATTAAAATCGGTTAAGTTGTTCTAGAGATAATCGACCAGATCTGCTGATTCTCTAATTTCTTACTCCAGTGTATATTGGAACAATTTAGTAAGTCTCGAAATGACTAATAATAGTTCTAATCAAAAAACTGATTATTCGTCTCATTTTCCGTGGGCGAGTCTAAACATTTGTAATAAGCAGGATGTGACTTAAAATAAATACTATTTAAATTAGAAGTTGGAAACCAAAAATAAGCCAAAATGAAATTTTAAAGTTAAATATGTTAGCAAAAACAGCACATCAGCGTGCTGCTTTTGCTAATATACTTATCTCTCAAACCACTGACCAGGTGAGCAATTCAAAACCATTTTGATGTACACTGTCTGTGCCAAGAGCATGCGGACACCCACTGGTATGAAGAACTTAGAGCGTCCTGAGACACCTATTAATAATGTTGTCGGTCCCCTTTTATGCATCGATGACAACCTGCACAAGTCTGGGTAGACTTTCCACCATAAGAATTGACTTCCATCACAGCTAAAGTGAGTGCTTACCTGGCTACCTAATCTGCACTCCAAAGGTGTTCTATAAGATCTGGAGAAGACCTTGTCCAGTTTTTGAACACCCATTTCGTCAAACCACATCTTTGCAAACCTCGATGTGAGAATGGAGCAGTTATAAGAAAAATGGGCCGAAATATTCTCACGCAACAACTATACCTTGGCTCTAGTTGGGCTCAAAATTGGCTCAATATTTGTCCTATATGAACATGCTCCAAAGGGACCAATATTAGGATGTCTAGAATTTTTAACATGGGTCCTATGCAGTGTCAATATCTGCCTATATAGGGCCAATATAGGGCTTATATTGGCTGAATAAGGATTATAAATTGTCGGGAGATTTTAATAATTTCATATAGGGCTGATATTGATGGTTTCAAGATGGCAGTAAAATATCGGGTGAATTGGACCCGATATAGGGCTCATATCGGAAATATAGGGCTCATATCGGAAAATATCGGCCCTTTGAACCCTTTTTGAGCTAAGATTCGTGAATATCGGTCCAATAAGAGCCCAAGTTATTTTACTGCTAGGGCTGCCATAGAGTTGGGACACTGCAGTATTCTCCAGAATGTCCACATACATCTCAGAGTGCATGTTTCCAATCACAGGAGCTGACGGACGTAAATCAAACCACGAGAAACACCCCCACACCATTATGTTTCCACCACCCTAACAACTGGTATATTTTTGGCTAGATAGTGTATATTTGGTTTCATCTTGACCACTACAAAAAGAATTTATCGTCATATTATCTTCAGCGAAAATTCTGATTCAACTTTCAACTGGAGTTCTGTGCCTGATGACAATTGTTTCTAGAATGTTACAAGTAATATTTTTCAACATTTCATCATCTAATAGAATTTATTGTCAGTCGAAATTTCTACTATTTCTAGATTTCTGTTTAGTTCCATGTCTGATGGCACTGCAATTTTTGACTGTTTTCTAAATTGTGTGAGCTGCCCCCCTTCCCATTTATCGTTATTTGGAATTTTGACGACTTTTCCTTTAAAAAATAATATGCCAATTACTCAAACTAGTAATTTGCATGTTAATGCATGCAAATTACTAAAACTAATTACGAAATCCCTTTACTAATGCAATAACTAATTAATAAATGCAATAACTAACTACTAAAAGCAAAAAATTGTTACATTCAAACTACTAAAACTTACTTGAATGTGCTTGCAATAATTTGCATGTAAATGAAAATTACTAAAACTAATAAAAAAAATTAGTCCATTCAAAACCTACGTTTTTCATCCCATTATAGAGAAAATTATTCTGTTTTTTATCAGATTAAAAAACCAGAATGATAGCGCATCATTTTCCTAATAAACTTCCATCAGCACCCAAAACCAGACACTACGACTTTCGAAAAGAAATGGGCGCTAAGATTTCCGTTTTTGGTCTGATAAAAAACAGAACTATTCTCTTTCTTTTTAATCCCATTTGAAGTTTTAATTTAATTGTATTATTTGCATTCGCAGATTTGTTGATGGAAGGATAAAATGTGTGACTTATACATACTTTGACACTTCAGTGAAATGAATCCCTTCAGTTGTGAGGAGTGTAAGCAGCAAGTTCCTGTACAAAAGAAGAAAAATATTTTGTTTTATTTTATTATTTATGTTTATTGTAATTTGACCAACATTATAGGACATACTTCGCAGTGGACCACATAAGTCAAACATCACTGGCTGCCACCAGTAAGCTGATGGATAAACATTTTGCATGATAAACGGTTTTACCGAAAAGTATTCGAATTCGTGCGCAGCAGATCGTTGGGCAAAAAGCGGGTCTACCTTCTGCAGAGGATCATAATTGTGACAACATGCCATCGTATCATCTTCAGAGATGTTGCCCACACAGTCGCAAATGGACCATTATAGGGGATAGAACGCTTGTCAGTGAACCGGGTTCAAATCCCTGGGATGTCTGGTCGATACGAATTCCTCATTCGATTTGCACAGAGCTGACGTAAAACATCCTCAGTGGTAGATGGATCATGGGTTAGAGTCCCCTAGCCATCGGACTAACCATTTGAGGTTTTCGTGCTTTTCCTCTTTATGTGACGTAAATACGGGTCTCCTCTCCATGAGACGTAAATACTTAATACAGGAGTTCCCTTGTCTTCTGGATTGGGCTCAAAATTACAAGACTACGAAGTTGAACATTGGTAGCTTTAAACTGAAAATTTGACCAGCTGTTCAACGACGGTTATAAAATAAAATAGAATAGACCATTGCGCAGTTTTCATACGACGTAAATAAAAAAAAAGTACCACTACTACTTGTTTTAATTCATTTTATCTTTTGATAGTTTTAAAGTTACGACAATCATCCTTAAGGCTAATTAGAAAAACTCACTCAATCAAATTGAATTTGCTTAGGCTTATTGACAATAAAGCTTTAATTAAGGCTATTTATATAGTAGGCTTTAAAATCCTTAGTTTATCGTAAACTTCCTGAAATAAAATCAAGCACATTGAGCAATAAATGGTATGTTTTCTAATTAGCCTAAACATTAAGTGAGGGAAAGTGTCAGGTTGGTAAGAAAGTACTATTTAGCCTAAGAAAAGGATGGCTGTTGTTTGCGAAAAATCTGAAGAGTTGGGTACTGGCACTGGGAAACAATCTTTCCTCTTTCTGCTGCACGAGATTTTTTAACAAATATTATGTACTTTTGAAACTCTGGTTTCAAGTATGTAATCAACTTCACTCTTACACGTTGCAGTTTATTGAAGTTATACTTCTTATGCGACTTCCAACAAGGTTGCGTTAAACGTTTAACGCTACATTTTTATTGGCCGGGAAATCACGTGGTAGGATCCAGTTTTCCCTCATTCATTTCCATATTGTTTTGGTTCTCACTAGCATAAAAATAATAAAAGTCATAAAAGTATTGTTTTTCTATAAATATTTTTTTAGTTTGTTTTGATACACATATAATTTAATAGGGTAGTATTTTTTATTTTCAAATTTAGTGGATAACAATTGTAAAAAATGAGTGAAAACAATCCCACGGACAATGCGACGGATTTAAGGTTATGTCAAGGTACGTCTCTTGTGAATATCAATTGATTGTTAGGTTTTCTCTTCTGAAATTACATTATGACGCATTCACATACATTATTAATACAAATACATTTTCCAGGGCGAGACGATGAGGCAACCACAAGCACTTCCACTGGTTCAAGAGGTCCACGAGGGAAAAATGCACGATATTACCGTTATTACAGAGCACGGAAGCGAGCGGAGCAGGAGAAAGAGCTGTTGAATAGAACTAGTGATCCTTCTACGACTGCTGATTCTTTTACAATTAGCGTCACAGGTTGCGAAGTTTAACTTCTTCCGCGCGGAGGGACTCCACGCACTATTTTTTTTTTGTAATTTACAGACGTGCAATTTTCAGTACTTCTACTGAATTCGGCATTTTTAATTCTGATTGAGTTGAGGATGTTGACTTTCACCGGTGAAGGTTGTCAATCATATAGTTGCTTTGGTAAATGTCCAAAATATATACTAGATATAGTTTAGTGCCTCTGTCCGGTATGCCCTACATCTATGTTTTTAAGGTTCAGTGCCACTACCCGATATACATTTGACCGGTATACCCTTTGTGGTGACCTGCCTACTACAACAACACGCTCGGGACGTCGAGTGCGCTTCAATCCGAAATATTTGTAAGAAAAGAATCGTTAGCACTGGAGGGGGAGTACTGTGGTGACCTGCCTACTACAACTCAACGCTGCCAGTCTCGTATCCCATAGCAACGAGGAACACAAAATAAAGAATATACTAATGTTATCTTTCTGCTGCTTGATATTTCTCCTGTTTTTTAATATGTACGTTATTGTTATTATTCGAAGCTGTTAATATATTATATTTTATAATAAGAAGCGAGTCTACTTATTTCTCACAAAAGTATTCCTCCACACCCTTCACTATACTAATTATTTTTAAGGTTCAGTGCCACTGTCATGTAATCGGTACTCCAAACACTGATGTTTCTCCTAATCTATCCTCAGCAAATATTAAAATGTCGAATAAGTATAATAATATCGACGACTAAATTAATATCAAATCGGATATAACAAACAAATCGGATATTCACCAAAGTGAAAATGTGATTGTTGACATTCACCAGTGAAAGTCAACATTCTCTTGATTTCGTTCATTCACGGGTAACATCTCTGCTAAGTGTCTCCACTTTCCTAGTGCAAACCTATGCATTCTTTAGAAATTTAGAAAAGAAAAAAGCGAAATATTACCTGGATACAGTGTCTTCGTCTTCCTCAGAGAATGGATTTCTCAACTTCTGGAGTTCCTTCACAATGGACTGTCGTCTCAGTTCAATTATGACAGAAGTGTAGTTGTTTAAGTGGACCTTCATTGAAATTAAGTTTGTTAGGAAATTCGGTTATTCAAATTAGGTTTATATTAGTTTTAATTGGAGGGGAAAAATCAACTATGTGGTATTATGAATAGAGCAAGCATTTTGATTCCCTAAAACATCTTTCATTATAGGGAAAAATGTCCATAAAAATGGAAAAGAATTTTCTTATAAGTAAAAATTATTTCAATCGCAAATCTCTTTTCTTTGTTTCAAATTTTTATTTTAACTATATTTAATTTTAATAGTTAGAGGACTTCGCTTACTAAACTCTGTGGTTGCTTCATCATTTTTTTTTCATCTTAAAAGTTAAAATTTTTTTTAAATAAGATATGTATGTCAACGTGTATGATCGAAATCAAGAAAATGTTGACTTTCACCGGTGAATGTCAACAATGACATAGTCGCTTTGGTGAATGTCCGAAATACTTGTTATATCCAATTTGATATTAATTTATGCGTTGATATTATTAAACATTTTATATTTTTTATTTCATAACCGTCGTTGAACATCCGACCAGATTTATGTTTTACGACTACTAATGTTCAACTGCGTAGCCATGAAATTTTGAACCCAATCCAGAAGACAAGGAAACTCCTGGATCAGTACTCCAAGAGGTATGATTTGTTATAGGAAGACTTTGTGACTTGACAGATTTAACCTGCATCAGTCACCATTTGCTAAATGGAGCGACTTCAGCCGGTGGGGATCGAACCCGCGACCTCTTGGACTTGGGCCCAGTGCCCTACCAACCAGTTTCGTTATATTAATATCTACTGAGGATAAATTAGGAGAAACATCACTGTTCGGAGTACTGGTTAAATGCATACTGGACATTAGCACTTCACATTTAAAAAAAAACAATGCTGTAGGGCATACCGGGCAAATGTATACCTGGCACTGAATCTTAAAAAAAACATCAGTGTAGGGTATATCGGATAGTGGTACTTAACAAGACCTAGTATAGATTCCGAACAATTACCAGAGCCACTATGTGATTGTCAATATTCACAGGTGAAAGTCAACAACCACCAATTTCTGTCATTCACAGTAACATATATGTCTAAAAAATATATAATTCTTATAATTCTATATAAGTACGTTTTGTAATTGTGTCAATCGTAACGAAAAAAATGGACACCTAAATTTGAAAAACAATCAAGCGCATACCTGCCAGCTTTTGCAGTTTCTTAAAATAATTTTCCGAGCTGGTATTAAAGTGTAAATTTGATTATCAATTACAGATAAATTTATTTTCTTGTTTTGCCAGACCTTAATCCTGCAGACAAAACAATTTCATGCACTTATTTATAGATAATTTAATCATCTGTAGTGATAGTTAAAATCATTTTCATTTAAAATTATAAATCCAAACAATGAAATATAAACTATGATTTTAAACATAGAAATAAAATTTATCTGAAAATCTGGAAGAATAGTACTGCGTAACTTTATATAAAGATAAAAAAAAAAAAACTTTGTATAACTTTATATAAAGAAGGAAAAGAAAACACCAAATCAAACTCGAGCTTATAAAATTAAGATCTCAAGAGAGATAAATTTTTTTTCTATTACGAATAATTAGTTTAATTTAAATTAAAAAAAGTCAAAAAAATTCTCGAAAATGCACCTGAAATTACAATAAGTTTCAAAAAATTTAGAACTTCGAAAGAAAGAAAAACTCGCTTTCAGTTCATAAAAAATGTCCNGTCTTACATATTTTTGCATTATATTTATATTTGTCCAAAATTTGCTTATTATTAAATTTTTAAAAAGCGTCTTTGCTTCAAATCCCCATGATAATTCAACAAGCTCATCTTGCAGGTTGATGTCTACGTTTTTGATGATGCGTTTATTAATTTATGTTCTATAAAGAAACTGATATTAAGTCAATTATAAAAAATATTCACAAATTTTGCATACTCAATTAGATATGTGTGATTTACGTATTAAGAACTGTTTTTTCTTTGACCCCCAATCGACCCTTCCGATTCGGATCGACCCCCATTCGACCCCCTGACTCAGATCAACCCCCACTTTCGTTAAATAGACCCCTGGGGGTCTATATAGACCACTTTGGCGACCTCTGGTATAGGGTATATCGGATAGTGGTACTTAACAAGACCTAGTATAGATTCCGAACAATTACCAGAGCCACTATGTGATTGTCAATATTCACAGGTGAAAGTCAACAACCACTAATTTCTGTCATTCACAGTATATGTCTAAAAAAATATAATTCTTACAATTCTATGAAGTACGTTTTGTTATTGTGTCAATCGTAACGAAATAAATGGACACCTAAATTTGAAAAACAATCAAGCGCATACCTGCCTGCTTTTGCAGTTTCTTAAAATAATTTTCCGAGGTGATATTAAAATGTAAATTTGATTATCAATTACAGATAAATTTATTTTCCTGTTTTGCCAGACCTTAATCCGGCAGACAAAACATTTTCATGCACTTATTTATAGATAATTTAATCATCTGTAGTGATAGTTAAAATCGTTTTTATTTAAATTTATAAATCCAAAAAATGAAATATAAAAGTAAAAGTTTTACTATGATTTTAGACATAGAAATAAAATTTATCTGAAAATCTGGAAGAATAGGCAGCTATGTAACTTTATATAAAGAAAAAAAAACACCAATTCAAACTCGAGCTTATAAAATTAAGATCTCAAGAGAGATAATTTTTTTTTTCTATTACGGATAAATAGTTTTTTTTAAATAAAAAAAGTAAAAAAAATTCTAGAAAAAGCACCTGAAATTACAATAAGTTTTAAAAAATTTAAAACTTCGAAAGAAAGAAAAACTCGCCCTCAGTTCATAAAAAATGTCCCTTTCAGTACAATAAATTTCAATTTTGCATTTCTGTGGCCTGCAGGGTGGTTCTCATGATATCTTTTACTACAAGTTTAACAAGTTTCAAATTTCAGACTTTAAATAATTTTACAAAAATGCATGCTTTACGATTCCAAACTTAATGGACTAGATATGTAAAAAAATGTTTATTAAAAATTATTTTTTGAATGGATGTATGAATCTCTGGCTTAACGAATTTTATAACTATGCGAAAAAAATACTTCCAATCGTTTAAAAGTTCTTGAGATATAGCACAATACGCAAAAGTAAAGTTAATATAATGGGGTCCAAATTTTAGATCGCTCCCTATGCCAAAATATTCGGACTATGTTTGAGGACAAAGAAAACAAATCCCCCAAAAAGTTATATTTATTCCGACAAAGTAAGTTTATTGTTTAATTTAAAAAAACATTTACCAAATTAATTAGCATATTTGAGGTCATAGCTATGAACCATTAAGATTGAGTCCTCATTCGTGAAAATCCAATCATTAGATCAAAGGTAAATTCAGGGTTATTTGTTAACTTTTTTTCACGTATATACGTACGTATTTTCACGTATATGTCAGAAACTAAAGCCTCACTATAGATGATTCTTACCCATAAATTTCTTGTTTTATTTTATAGTGGATTTCTTGCACTTAATTACATTATTTTGAATCCAAATTAGTTAATATTTGAAAGGAATATGTATATATATGTTACTGTGAATGACCGAAATTGGGTGTTGTTGACTTCTCATCGGTGCATGTTGACAATCACATAGTGGCTTTGGTAAATGTCCGAAATATATACTTGGTCTAGTTAGGTACCACTGTCCTGTACATATTTGTCCGGTATAACCTACAATGATGTTTTTTTAAGGTTCAGTGCCACTACCCAATCAACATTTGCCCGGTGCGCTTCGAACATTTTTTTTTAGGTCATATTTTCCGGTGATGTTTTTTTTAAGGTCAAGTGCCACTGCCCCGTATGCATTTAAGCAGCACTCCTGAAGCTGTTATTTCTCCTAATCTATTCTCAGTAGATATTGAAATATTGAATTAATATAATAATATCAACGAATACATTAATATCAAATCAGATATAACAAATAATTCGGATATACACCAAAGCGACTGTTGATATTCACCGGTGAAAGTCGACATTCTCTTGCGACTTTATTTTAATTAAAATACAAAATTATTCTTAATAAAAACTTAACGTATGGCTAATTTTTTTAACTCTACTAATGAATATTGATTGTAATGTTGTCAATAAATAGAGAGATACCCAAAATTATGACCACATAGGGGTCATTCTCACAAAAAGGTGATTTTTTAAGTCCCTTAGTAATAAATATTAGAAAATACAGAAGATTTCTAAATATTTTTCTTCATCATTTTGCGTTAAGTTCTAACTAACAAATCATATGCATTTCTGCTAAATGTATTTAATATTTCATTCGTATTTTTTAATAAACATGTCTTCAAAATCCCCTCCGTGGACGTCCCTACGTCTGTGACACAAAATAATTTTTAATGGCTATTAAACAATTTAAATGTTATTTTAATGATTTTTGTAGTTTTACCTAGTTAAATGTTTATAGTAACTTTTTATTTAATATTTTTTTTTAAAAAAAATTATTTTTATGAAATAAATGACTAGTAAACTTTGTCCATCAAAAATGAAATCTCCCTCCGTGGACAATTAATATAGTTGGTAAATATGCAATAAAGTGCAGCATATGCGAAATCCCTATAAGACAGCTGCTGGGAAAGGCAACCATTCCATTTTCTAATGTTAATTATCAGTTGTTTTGCTCTCTTTGGTGTCAGTTTTGGATTGTTGTGTTCAGCGGGAGTTTGGCAAAGTTCTCACCGTATACTCTACTCCGTGGACATCATAAAGAAGGTAAGAGAAAATTATTTTATTTTTGATCGATGAATTTTAGATTGCAAAAATAGTATATTTGATAAAAAGAACCGCCCCATTTTTGTAACTTTAAAATTAAAAATCAGTAAAATTCAAGAACAAGTTTTTGTCTCCTCCGTGGACATAAAAAGTCCACGGAGGAGAAGACACAGTCAATGGAAGAGACAATGTGTTAGATAACCATAATACAATTTTAATAATTAAAAAACTATTTTCTTTTAATTGATATTTTTTAAAATGGAACAAATGTGTTAATTTGTTTCTATTTTTAAAGAAAATCAATTAAGTTTAACTTTTTCTTATCGGAGAAGTAAATATTGGCAATTTTTCTAAATAATTTCTGTGA